GTTTAGTAAAAAGAGTAAACATGGTATCCTTATCTCAGTTGCAATCAACCCACAAGCTTTCGGGGCCAATTTAGTTGCTGAGACCTTTTCTGACTTCAAACACCTTCTTCTTGTGTATAAGTTCAATAACAAATTCAGTACTTTCTTGTGTATAAGTTCTATTAGAAGACAAACATATTTTTGAACCCTTTGAGATTTATCCATTTGTCTACTATTGGAATGATTATTTGTATGACATTAACTTTTCTGCAATGTATTATATTTTTTGTATATGGTATTTTATTTTCTATTAGACATGAAATGCAAATTTAATTTGAAAATTAGTAAATCCATAAATAATTTTTTTTTTTAAATTAACTACGATACGCAAAAATGTGTATCATCTTCATTTATGACATGGCCTTTCTTGACAACGGCTTTAATGATACGCATTGCGTGTCATAAATGCGCGTCGTCTATAGAGGACGCACAAAAGCGTGTCGTCTCTCGTTATGACAGGGCCTTCCTTGACGCGCATTTGCGCGTCGTTTGAGCGTTTTAAGATGCTCAATGAGCATCATAAAAGGTTGTTTTTCTAGTAGTGAAGGACTCGTTAAGTCCATAAGGAAACTCGACGATTCATGTCGTGTTGTCCCGATGACAGTTAGTAGAACTCGACGAGTCTGTAGAGGGACTCGACGAGTGGATGAGCCAAGTCGCGACTGAACAGCTCAATAGAACTCGGCGAGTTGGTCAACCCAGAATGTTGACTTTCACCAGAGTGTTGACTTTGACCAGGGGTAAAATTGTCATTTTACCCTATGAAGAGTTATTAGTTTTTGATTTTATACATACATATATATATATATATATATATATATATATATATATATATATATATATATATATATATATATATATAAATATTTGTAGTATGATAAGCATTTCATAAACAGGAAAATGGTTTTTAGAAATTGTTTAAACACAAACATAGTCTTTCCATAAGACTTATAAAGGATCCTCAGTACGAAGTAAGTTGGATAACTAATTAGGCATACCATGTGTTATAATAATATTGCATTAACAGGGAATACGTATTGAAAGTTGAAGATTTATATTATAGTCTACTCTAGTTTTAAACTAAGACATATAAATGATGATTAGTTCCATTTAAGTTGGATAAAAGTATAACCGTATATTGTATTGCGATAATATGGTATAAATAGGAAATGGTTTTGTAAGTTGATTACACGTATTATAGTCTTGCCTAATAATGAAATAAGACTTATAAAAGGATGCTTGCTCAATTTAGTTTAGATATTGGGTAGAATCGTATTAATGGTGTGTATGACAGGAACGGGGAGTAGAGTTCTATTATGTGACACTATTAGGTGTCGATGTACAGATTACGTACCAGAATACGATATAGTATTCCTTTAGACATCCAGATATGGTGGGTCCAATCAGGAAACTAAAATGGTATGTCTAGTTACCTTCCTAAGTAAGATGACAACACTTGATTATTCTGGATGGTCTTGTGAATTATGTTGCTAGTGTGGACTTATAAACAACAAACGTAGATGAAATAGGATACCATATTCATCAAATACTCTAATGGATCAAATTGCCTTTATGACTTACACCGGCCAATGAAGCCCCTAGTTGTGTAGTCAAACCATTGCTCTAAACGATTTAACAGTGAGTTGATTCTTCATGATAATCATGGACAAGAATTTGTGAGAATCGGTTGGAATAGGTATATATGGGTGTAACGTTTTATAGATATCTCAATTATGAGATATATCTATAGTGTGTGGTAACAGTTGGTTTTCAGGTTTGATAATTATAAATTATTATCATAATAATATTATGGGATTGAAAACCCTATGTGTTTCATTAGGTTTCTTAACCTTACACGCTCAAATTATTATCATAACCTTACACACTCAAATTACATCACATGTAACGGGGCTAAAGTAGTTGGAACTTGAATAGGATGTCGAGTGATTAAGAAACAACTTGCAATAGTGTTTAGGACCATTAGGTCTTTAAGCTATAACATATGTTGTGTATTGATTATGACATCCTTAGGGTTTTGTATTTTGAATCACCATCTTTACTCGATATATTTTAATATAACGAGACAGTTTTCGCAAGATATCTTATTCTACTGAGATTTTCCGCAAACAAAAATATTGTGATTTTTATAGCATAAAGAAAACTTTTTTTGTTCTTGAAAATAGGGGATGTCACATCATCCCCGAGTCTATCCACCATGCATAAGCATCATCTTGAACAAAAAATGATTCAAAAATAAGTGTTACATGATATATCGCAGTAGTATTTTTAGAAATAAAATTATAACCTTGTAGTTTTGGACATTGATCATGAGATCTCTCTCCAGATGTGCTTGCACCATTCTTGTTCTTTCTAAAATAACAATCTTGTTTCACGTGACCATTTTTGTTACAATTCCAACCAATAAGTTTTGCTTTCTTGTGTGAACCTTTATGATGGTCATCTTTTTTCTTCCTTTTTCCTTTGTTGTTTTTCTGATGTTTATCATCTTCTACAATGCTCACAAAAGATCTGGGAACTTCTTTTACCACTTTCTTGAGCCTAAAGACCCTTTTCAATTCTCAAGTAACTACCAAGTTGTACCAGAGATAACTCTTCCTTTTTGTGTTTTAAAATATGTTTAATGTTTTTCCAGTATGGGGGCAATGTGTCAATAACACTCAAGACAGAAATAGATTCATCCATTTTGTAATCATTGAAATTACTTCCAAAGAACTTCTTACTATAAGCATTCCCTGCCATGTATATAGATTTAAGTGCATCCTACAGCTCTTCTGCGGATTTGTGATTTTGATAGACATTAAAGAAAAAGATAGCCATACCATTCAAGATGTGTCCACGATATATGTAATCATCATTGTCCCACTTGCATCTTCTTTTGGTATGTTCAGTGGTTTTATCTTCCATCGGTTCTGGTGCAGGAATTCTTAAAACATGAACAACATTCAAAGCAGTAACAAGGAAATGCATTTTCTTTTGCCACCGACGAAAATCAGTGCCCTTAAACTTATCTAGTTTCCTAAAATTGGAACTTATGTCCCTCACAAATTCGGCCATTGTTATTCCTTGCAAAAATTACAGATTTTGAATGTTATAAATTAAGGGTACAAACAACAATAACTTAAATAATCTCTTGAATCGTGTTTTGGAAATCACTTTCCGAAATCTATAATTCGACCCTTATTCTTGGGGTTACACAAATGTAAATTCATGGGATAATTCAAAAGATCACATTAGATTTCATGATCAATATGATTTACTAATAGAGTATACCTTGTTTGTTGAGTGTTCTTTGAGATAGAGAATGTAAAGTGATTGATGTTTAAGTATCACATAATAACCTTTGCATGGAATATCCATCTTCCTTTTATATAAGGAATATGGAGGTTAGAAATGTCGTTAACATCCATTTCATAAAAATTGTACTTTCATTTGTTTTATTGCTTTGTTTATTATAAAATTCTGTTTTTATTTTTTCTTTATGTACTTGGAAAAATCTACCTAACCATACCAATTTCATACAAATAGGAAACAATTTTTCACTGCTAAAAATGGATAGAAAGTATAAATTCTTAATAAGAAAAAAATCAATAGTATAATGCTATAATTGGGTAAAAAAATTTTGAATTACAATGTTTTGATAGGAAGAAGTGAAACTAGGATGTTATAATAAACAAACCAATGAAACTATGTTTCATTTTTCGGGTATAGTAGCCGGAACCGGGAATTTCATGAGAGGTGTTGTTTTATTAATGCAAGCTTAGTCGATAACTGAGAATATTTTGGGACAGAATAATAGTATGTAATTATTATAGTTGTTGTATATGATTATATAATTCATAAAAGAGTAACAAAGAACATGATTTAAATTTTATCTGTTGTTGAGCTTTGTTGATGTTGAGCTTCGTTTTCAGTGGTGGTGCTTTGGATCACCTTTCCGGTCAAACCTATAAAGAATATGACATGTTAGGCCAAGATCCATTTTAGTCATAATTTGTTGTTTTCTAGAAAGGGTTATAAGAGAAAATACATGGAACTAAGGCATCTGTTAATGTTTGTTTGGTATTTTATAGTATGGATCAAGAACTTCTATGAACATACATTCTAGCATCGTGATAGCATCCAACAAATATTAACTTAAAATTTAGTTTTTTTGAATTTAACATAACAAATTAATGTTAAGACTTAAGATAATCAAATTTATAATAATTGACGCAAATGTGAAGTAATCCGTATTTGATAGAAATAGGTGACATAAACTCCCCAATAAAGCCCCTTACATATAATTTTGAATTTCAAAACAGCCCCTTTCCAACATTTCTTTCTATTACACTGTAGTACTTTCATTAATCAAAATACTCGAGAAATACCAAGGTACTTTCATTGATTTTGTTTATTATAATATTCTAATTCTATTTTTTCGAAGTACAATGTTGTGATAAATGTTATGATAAGTGTTATGTCTCTAATTGTCAATTAAAACACTCTCTAGCATGATTTGATTGATGAAACTTAATCCCATAAACATGAGTAACTATCTTGCAATCTTTATTATACAGTGGTATAAATTTAAACATAGCAATAAAAAGTCAAACTGAGCCCATAAAAGAAACAAACACAACTGTAACATCACAACACACAAAATTTACTCGATTCATTTTTGGTTTACCAATAGAGCACACAAAGCAAAGATAAGTATAGCATATCCATTTCTTGCTCCACGAATCACTACTTTGTTGAGTTGGAAATCATGTTTCATGGATAAACAAAAACAAAATAAAAGTATCACAATCTACTTATGCCACAAAATAAATTTTCTCCAAAAAAAAAAAAAAAAAAAATATCTACTATAACAAAAATTACTTTACTTGATACTTATACAATCATACATATGTTGGAAATTGACGCAATTTCATAGAAGAATAATGCATATCAGCAATAAATCATCGTACAACGCGTCTTCTTTCCGGATTTCTCTTCTCGGATTTGGATATTTTAGGTGAAGTTTGGCTCCGGAGTCTAGCTAAACCCAACTCTACTCTTAGAAGAACCCAATCTTTGATTACATTCAAGAATCCGTAATACGCATGTCTCCATGACTCTTTGAGAACCAACGAGCCACAAACACCCCAAAAAGTAAAGGCAAAACCAGCGACAATGCCAATAAGGAACCCCTTATGGAACTTATCGTCATAAGATTCTTGTTTAGCAACATCAACAAGATTTGGGTTTTTACTTTTCGGCATGTCACCATGGCATATGTTCGGCAATGGAAGCCCACAAAGTGCAGGATTTCCAGCGTATGATGACATCTCAAAGCTCTGTAACTGCGTGCCCTTCGGGATTCTTCCCGACAAGTTGTTGAAGGACAAATCCAACACCCCAAGATTGGTCAACTGCGAAAGGCTTGTAGGGATTCCACCAAAAAGGTCGTTTCTTGATAGATCAAGAAAATCCAATTGTCCCAATCGACCGATGTCTTTAGGTATTGATCCGGTGAAGCTGTTTCTTGAAAGATTCAATGCAATGAGAGCCGAAAGATTCGTGATCTCAACTGGGATTCCACCGGTTAATCTATTGGAAGAAAGATCAAGGCTAACGACCAAACCCAATGTCTTTTGGTACTCTGATTTCTTTCCTTTCCATTGCAGTAATACTTTAAACATAGCGTAGACTCTGATAATGAGTCTGGTTCGAGCTAACCCGACTGAACTGTGTTCAATACTTATTTGTTGGGTACTTATATCCCTAGTTTTCATCCCCGAAATGTGATTGATGCATTTGGGTATTTTCCCGGAGATATTGTTAATGGAGAGGTCCAAAATTTGAATGTTCTTGATCTTACATAAGCTTGTAGGAATGGCTCCATGGAACTGATTTGACGATAAGCTAAGAACAAGCAACGCTGACAAGCTTTTCCCTAACCATTTCGGTATCTTACCCGACAGTTGGTTTTCTCCAAGATCAAGAAGTCGTAAATACGTGCAGTTTTTTAAGGACGATGGTAGGTTTCCAGTCAAGTTATTGCCTTTCATACTCATCATATCAATCCCTTCAAGGGCCCCTATGGAATCGGGAATTTCCCCTGTAAATCCATTGTCTTCGAGGTTCAGAATAGCCAGGATGTTAAGGGTGTTCCAGCAGTTTGGAAGCTCTCCCGACAGTTTGTTAATAGAAAGGTCAAGCCGGATTAAGCCAGTCAGGTTACACAAGGAAGAAATCTGCCCTGATAACATGTTGTCGTTGAGCTTTAGAGTAATGGTGTCAAGAGGAAACAATGGTAAGTTACCCGAGAAGTTATTTGAGCTCATATCGATTATAGGTTGGTTACCAGATATAAAATCCAAATCCGGAATCAACCCATGCATCTGGTTCGAGGAGAGATTTAAGTAACGTATACCCGGAATCAACGACTCCCAAAACCAATTGGGGACAGAATCATCGATTCCGGCGTTAGATATATCAAACACGGAGAAGTTCGTTTGAGTTCTTAGCCATCGCGGGAAAGAACTCCCGAGTTTGCAGGATGACAACGAGATGGTTTCGAGTTGAAAAGTTGCAGACCAATCGGAACCGATTTCTAAATCCAACGAATTAAACGACAGATCGAGGTAAGTCAAACGAGAAAGATTAGCTACATGCGTTTCAGATATCGTTCCTTGAAAGAAATTCGAAGATGCACCCAAAGACTCGAGCTTGGAGAGAGGCTCTAACTTTTCAGCTAGAGTTCCATTTAATAGGTTTCTCTCAAAATACAATTCCCGCAAAGAAGCGAAAACAGAAAGATTTGGGAGAAATCCATTGATACGGTTATCCGCCAAATCAAGGATTAAAAGATCCGAAATTTTTTCAAATTTTCGTGGGAAAGAACCGTTCAACTGATTTTGTTCAAGGTACAGTTCCTTGAGAGATGTGAATTTTGTAAAATCAGGCAACGAACCGCTTAGTTGATTATAAGATAAATCAAGAACCTGTAAAGATCTCTCTGGTCCAAACCCCGAGAGGTTGTCAAAAAGACCAGAAAGGTCTTGGTTGAGATTGTTCCCAGATAGGAAAAGTTCACGTATGTTGCCAAAGTTTCCAAATGAAACCGGGATACCACCTTGGAGGCCATTGTTGGTCAAATCTAGGGTTTGGAGGTTTTTAAACATACCAAATGCTTCAGGAATGATACCAAGTAGCTTATTGTTAGATAGATCGATGTAAGTAAGGGTGCTACTAAAATTGAATAACCAAGGGTATATCATAGAGTTTGGAAGATCGTTAGAATTAATATTAACAACTGCAAAAGAAACAGAGGAGGTGCGATTGAACGATTTGGCAGTGTTATTGGGAAGCGAGCAGCTTTCAAGTTGCAACTCTACGAGGGAGGGCAATGTGATGACGTTATTAAGTAACCCAACAGATTCACTCAAGTCTATATAACTAAGATTTAGGTATTTGAGAGAGGAAAGACGAGAGAGCCAATCTGTGTTCTTAATGATCACAGGTGTAGCTAACAGATCAAGAGTTTGTAAGCTGGAAAGATTGCCTAATTGATGCGGAAATTTTGATGAAGTTAACTCGATGTTAGCGAGTTTGAGGTGGTGTAGTGTCTTGAGGGAACCAAGGAAGTTTGGGATACGAGTGAAACTGTTTCCACTCAAATCTAAATATGTCAAAGAATTTAATGAAAGCAATGAAGAATCGATCTGACCACTTAGACCAAAAAATTGGCCAACACTTGCGTTGAAATCTACATGAAGATCAAGCTTGATGACTTGGCCAGTGTCGTTGCTGCATCTTACACCTCTCCATTTACAGCAATCTTGTGTTGTGTTGGTATTCCTCCATGACTTGAGAAGGGCGTAATCGTCCACGAGCCCTTTTTTGAATTGCAAGAGTGCCCTCCGGTCACGATCAATGCACCTCGTTTCGGCATGGTTGATGTATATGAAAAAGAAAAGGAAATAAAAAAGGAGATGCATGAGTGACGAATATGGTTTCAAGAAATCTAAGGAGTATGAGATTTAAAGTTACAAAAAATATTATGATGTGCGTTATAAGATTGACATAGGAATATGACAAAATAGAGTTGACTATGGACATATGGCTTTTATATTTCTATGTAACAATTTGGCAAACATCTGGTGGCAGTTATTTGTTTCACATGGCGCACGCCTCAAACGCGGGAAGTTTAAGGTTCATTAACAAATGAGAAATCTAACCTTCCTAGGATAAAAAGTTTAAGGTTCATCAACAAATGAGAAATCTAACCTTCCTAGGATAAAACGGTACTGTCTAGATGTATTAATAAATATAATACGCACCAAAGAGGCAAAGACCCTAAAAGACTGCCGTTAACAAAGGACATCCATGATAGGAAAAAAAAATTAAATTAAATTAAATTACATGGTATGTTATACATTTTTGGATGAAGGAAGCTAGGCCTATGCAACATATTTTTTCTTTCTTCGAATGTCTTAAGATGACGAAAGCTAGGCCTATGCAACACAAGGTCTTTAGTATTGCCAACATTAAGGCTCATATTTTATTTATTCTTGACCTTGAAGCATAACTTTTGGGGAACTTTCTTAACTCTGATGGCTACGATGTTAGTGATCATTTGAATTGCCTCATCTGATCACTATAAGAAAAGTCCTTGTTAGTGCCTAAATGACAATCTAAAATTTGGTCGCTAACAACATTATTTGGTCACCATGTATTAAGTCATCACTATGTTTTGATAATATTACAAATTTAATGACATGGTCATCACTTACCGGTCACTAAAATGTAGATTAAAATTAAATTAATTTTTTTTGTATATCGTAACAAGTATTAGTGACCATTGATTTAATAACCAAAATAAATGGTCACCGGTTGAATTAAAGGTTTAATGATGGCAAATAATAGTATTGAAGTGTTTATTGGCTTGTGATATTTTAAAAAAAAGATGTTTTTAAAAAGTGTTTAGGTTAATGTTTGGCTTAGTTTTTTAGAAATAAAAAGTGGTAGGAAAACTAAAAAGCTAGGATTTTGTAGTTTTTTGAAACTCATTTATTTTGCTTATCCAAAAAATTGTTTAAAAAACACTTTTGAACAACTTAAATACTTTTTTAGTTTATTAGCTTTTTAAAAAGCCAATAACCTAATAAACTAATTTGAGAAGCAATCTCAAACACCCATTTAGTGACCAAAAATAAGCATTGGAGACTTAATGACCAAAACTAATGGTGATTAAGTACTCTTCAATTTCGAACCCACCTTAATATCATGTAAAAACATTGTTTAGGTTATTTAATTACCAAATGAAATAGGTTTAGTTATCATAAAATAGTTACTAGCTATTTTATATAATGAGTCGGAGAAAAGATACTAACAAATAACAAAATTGAGATTATTGAATATTTATTGAAAAAAACTTCCAAACAAAATAAAGTTTACTGAATACCGACTAATAAAATAACAAAACAGTTTTTATTGAATATTTATTGAAAATTGCCAAAAAAAAAAATTATTGTGATCATAAAAAAATGGTCACTAGAAATGTAAGTAGAAAGTCATTATTCCCTTATGATTTGAGTCTTCAATTTCATTGTTTTACCGTTTTGATTAATTGATAATATTTAAGTTTGTTTTATGTTTTAAAATTACACACATAGATGACTCAAAAAATCCTTATACTTTATTAAGATATAAAATAACGACAATGTCATTATTCTTTTAACCTATTTTAGGGATTATTTGGTAGGATCTGAATTTTTAAGATGTCTGAATTTCTAAGAAGGTCTGAATTTTTAAGATCTGAATTTTTAACATGTTGTTTAGTTGGAACCTCTGAATTTTTGTACTGAATTATGAAAATGACTATTTTACCTTCTGTATTATTTTATACTCAATTCAATGTTTATTTTTATAGAATAATTGAACCAATTCCTTCAGTAGTTTATATATATATATATATATATATATATATATATATATATATATATATATATATATATATATATATATATATATATATATATATATATATATATATAAATGGTTAGGATTGTTTTCTTTCTAATTGTGTGTCAAAATGCACAGATCTGAACCATCAGATGGAATATAATCAAAGGTCATTGATCTGAGGGTCTATGATAGTACAATAGGGTAACATGTACCATATAATCACACAAATTTTAGCATAAGGGCATTGTAGTCAATTTCAGATAAATTTAAAAAATGAAAAATCAAGATTTATGGGATAATTAATGATTTTGATCTAAAAAATTTTGATTTTTTTTCAAATTAATTCAATTTCAAACGTAATTTGTAAACATAAATCGATTTTATTCTATCAGAATGTTATTCTGTAATTCTATTATAATGGTATACAACTATCAACATAATATTATAAAAACATATTATCAACACCAATAATTTTTAATGAATATAAATTTTATATAAGACGAACTTTAATAGTTTAGAATAGGTAATTACATTCATTCATAAAGAATACGACTATGAACATAAACTACATTCATTCTTGAAATCTCTTGCAAAAAACATATTGGGATTTTTGAAAGAATCCACATTCACTTTCTTGTTTCGTTTCTAGATGTCCTCTGTATGTTTGACCTCTAAGCCACTTCAAAATATGCTAGCATTTTATGAGATTGACATTCTGTCAGAATTGTATTGCATGAGAATAACTTTATACAAGGAGTCTTTCCCATCAGATCTTCAATCCATTCTTCAAGTCATTTCAATCACAAATTCATTGTCAAATATTTTGTAGTGATATACTTGTAACAACTGCATATTAAACATATAACCAATTGACTACAATTTTATCATAATACATCAATAATATTCTTACAGAATAAACTATTCTTGCGGAATGGTTTTGAATATTCTTAAAGAACTTGTATTACAAATACCTAGATTTCAACTATGCGTTTTATCGAACACGTGGTGTGCTTCTTCAGTTTCTTAAAAAAATTAATGAGAGACTTACCAATTCAGTTTCTTGAATTCAAGAAACAAACCCAAACAACCCTGAGTTATATCTCATCCATTATCATAAATTTTTTCAGGAAAACCTAAACATCCAAATTTACATGGATTCAAATCAAAATAAGACGAAGAAGAAGATCACCTATTGGCCATGGATGCTTTTGTTAACTCCTTCTTCCTTTGATCAGTCAAGAATCAAGACCCTTGTCTCCCTCAAACTTGTTGTTTTGTTGCTTCCTTTCTCCATTTCGTGTTAATGGCCAACAGCCCCATTTTCGTGTTTTTCCTTTCCTGATAAACAAAGAAAAACAAACACTTCCTAATGTAACATCCGGATTGCGGGTATGCTATTTTAAATATTTATTTTGGGGATTTTTTTAGGGACTCGATGAGTTGGTGCATCAACTCGTCGAGTAGGGTCGAGATCCTTTGATGCGTTTAGCGATCGGACTCGGCGAGTCGAGTATCTGACTCGATGAGTCGGTGTTGACGAAGCAAACCCTAATTCCCCTGGTTTGGAGCCTATTTAAAGGCCCTTATGGCCTTCATTTGCGGCCACTACCCCCCTGAGAAACCCTAGAGAGCAGAGAGAGAGCTTGTAGAGCAAGAGGAGGGCTAATTCATCATTCTTTGGTGTGTTTTGCAAAGGGAAGGAAGGATTTCGAGCTAGGCTGACTTGTGGGACTCAAATCTACCATCATTTCGTTCAGAGCTGCTGTGAGAGGTATGGATTCATGTCTATCTTCATTTGAGTAATAGATTTCTTGAATCTATGGTTTCTTCTTTTCATTTTTTGTAGAGATCTAGTGTTTGTGATGTCCCCTTGTGACAATATTATCAGAGTTGGACCTTTAGAGGTCCAGAGAGTCCCTATTCTTCAGCTTTATGCAACCCTTTATGAGTTTTGGGGCCTAGGTTATCATATTAAGGGATATTTTGGCACATAGAGATGATAGTGTGATGCATGGACCTAAAGCTCGAACCTTTACGTGACTTTTGGGTTCTAGGATGCCGAATCTATAGGTTGGTGAAGCAGATCTAACCTCATAGGTTTGATTGAGCATGAGCATGGGGGAAACTCGCCGAGTCCATTAGTAGACTCGACGAGTCGGACCGGGTTATCCGCGATTCGTGACCATTGGTGACCCGACGAGTTAGGTGAGTGACTCAGTGAGTCGAGTGAGATCTTGGGAAGGAATCTGAGTACGCATATGGACTCGTCGAGTAGTCGCATGAACTCGACGAGTGTGGTCAGTGTGGACTGTTGACTTCGGTTGACTTTTAGAGTTTAGTCAGCCGGTAGACATTTGGACCAGTAGAGGGGTAGAATGGTATTTTACCCTTCTAAAAGTTATAGTAAGGGACTTATTTAGCCTTTGAGAGCCGTTATTGATTTAGAGTAATTTATGTATGTGATTAGGCGGAGGCTAGATCAGTATTCCGAGTTCGAGACTGTTTGAGATTTCCCGAGGTGAGTCTTCTCACTATACTTTACCTAGAATGGTAATTAGAGTTATGTGACAGAGTATCTTGTAAGCTTTTGTATGATGTGATTTCTGTGTGATTTGTGCTATGTATGATTCAGAGTTCACAGAGTTAGCACCGGAAGGTCCACAGAGTTAGGACCAGAGTGTCCACAGAGTTATGGGACTGGAGGGTCCCACTGAGACACATTGACCAGAGGGTCATACAGAGTTATAGCCTCGAGTGGCTAATATGTGTTATATGTGGTATTTTGGGGAATCCACTAAGCATTTATGCTTACCGTGTTATGTGTTATGTGTTTCAGGTACTATCGAGGATCGCGGGAAGGCGCCGACATGATTTGTACACACTGGCAAAAGATTATGTTTCTTTTTAGATTCTAGGATATGCTTTTTTGTGATGACAGTTGATAACATGAGATTTAGAAATATTATATGATTTTTATTATGTTGATAAATGAAATTTTGTTTTGGAAATTCTTGCCGTTACACCCAATTTC